AACTCTTGAAGTTCCTTTTAATCTCTTATCTTTTACAATCACTTGTCGGCACTATTTTGGTTTGGGGAGTTTGTTCGTAAGAAGCTTTCAGTCACCGAAATCAAAATCCCGTCAACCGCTTTGGAAGGACGTTTAAATTTAAAAAAGTATGAAATCAAACTGACCCCATATTTTTCATAGTTTATCATAGTTTAAATGAAAGAGCCCTATACCTCAAACTCTATATCTATCCCGAAGGATAAACACAAGACTTGAGGATGAAGGATGAGGTTTGATCAAATAAACAAAGAAAGGTATGACGTTCATTTGGTCTGTGAAATTATTTTATTTGCCAATGATTTCCCCTATTTAATATGAACGAATAGATTTTATATTAAGTTGGGTTTGAGAAAAGCTTCCTATAAGGGCAAGCCCCTATAGTTAATTTCATCTTAAATGACCAAAGTCATCTAAGAAAACTCTCGATAAAAATCAAGAAATATTATCTTCAAGGAATTCAAAGGAAAGGACTTTTCAATGAAATCATATAAAGAGGTGATAAAGGGGAATGATTCAAATTTGGGATATTTATTATGAAATCCAAAAGAGGAAGGACTAGGGGATGACATAGATCCGGAGGAGAACCTCGGTGCCTTCCCAGTCTATCATATTGTTTGGCTTCAGTTTTGAGGAGAAAAATTTAAATGTTTCATCCTGTCAATTTTATTAATTTAGGGCTTACGTTTGTGTGAAGCAATCACGAAAATAGCCTAAAAGATGTGAGGATTTAGCTTGCGACAAACGACAACCTCGGAATCCTAAAACGAGTTAGGGCTTATATTGTACAACAGAGCTATACAAATGCCTATAGATGAGATGAGGATTTAGGTTGCATAAGAAGACAACCTCGAAGTCTTATGGCATTATTATTTAATTCTATAGCAGGAAAGAAATTGGTTTAATTGATGTAGACAGATTGTGTTGTTGAAGATGGTCGTGCTGCCAACCATGCTAGCTCCAATCTCCTCGTCGTGGCGAGTTTAAGTTTTCTAGGGTATCCAGTTATGATATAAAATCAGCAAATGTTTCCTAAGGTCATGGTTATTTAAATGTTATGGGGCATCTTAAAGTTGATTAGAGTGACACCGGTTATAATCCCACGGTTCCCTCGTTCTGACACCACTATTTTCTTTCGGATTCACTTAGTCCAAATGAATTTACTAAACTCAAA